GTCTGCCTTTAGCTTGGGTCATGGTCCCAGGGTCCTGGGATCGAGCCCCACATCAGGCTCCCTGCTCGGCGGGAAGCCTGCTTCTCCCTCTCCCACTCCCTCTGCGTGTGTTTCCTCTCTCACTGCGTCTCTCTCTGTCAAATAAATAAATAAAAATATTTTTTTTTAAATGGCAAAAAGTAGTGATAAATAGAGAGAATGTTAAAAGCAGCAAGAGAGGGATGCCTGGGTGGCTCAGTGGGTTAAGCCGCTGCCTTCGGCTCAGGTCATGATCCCAGGGTCTGGGATCAAGTCCCACATTAGACTCCTTGCTCAGCGGGGAGCCTGCTTCTCTCTCCACCTCTGCCTGCCAGTCTGCCTGCTTGTGCTCTCTCTCTCTCTCTGACAAACAAATAAATAAAATCTTAAAAAAATAATAAAAAATAAAAGCAACAAGAGAAAAGAAAGCAGTTGCAGAGAAGGAAAACCTCCTAAGGCTGATATTTTTTTTCCAGCAGAAACTTTGCAGGCCAGAAGAGAGTGCCATGATAAATAGTCCACCCAGCCAGATTCTCATCAGAAGAGAGGGAGAGAGAGTTTCCCAAACAAAAGTTAAAGGAATTCATCACCACTAAAGCAGCCTTACAAGAAATGTTAAAGGAGATTCTTTGAACCAAGACAAGATAAAGACACCAAAAAAAAAAATTATTTTTTTGAGAGAACTACAGGCCAGTAACTCTGATGAACATAGATTTAAAAATCCTCAACAAAATACTAGCAAACCAAATCCAACAACACAATAAAAAAGAATCATTCACCACAATCAAGTGGGATTTATTCCTAGGATGCAAGGACGGTTTAATACTTGAAAATCAATCAACATGATATATCACATCAATGTTATAGAAAGGATAAGAACCATATACAATCATTTCCATAAATGCAGAAAAAGCACTTGACAAATTACAACATCCATTGGTGATAAAAACCTTGTCAGAGTAGGTTTAGAACATAATTAAGGGCCATATATGACAAACCCACAGCTAACATCATACTCAATTGTGAAAAGCTAAGCGCTATTCCCTAAGATCAGGAACAAGACAGGGATGTCTACTCTCACCACTTTTACTCAACATGGTACTGGAAGTGTTCACCACACACAGTAAACAGACAAGAGAAAGAAAGAAAAGGCATCCACATTAGTAAAGAAGTAGTAAACCTTTCACTATCTGCAGATGACATGATACTTTATATACAAAACCCTTAAGACTCCACCAAAAACCTACTGGAACTAATAGACTAATTCAAGAAAGTTTTAGGACACAAAATCAATATACAGAAATCTGTTACATTTCTCTACACTGATAATGAAATGACAGAAAAAGAAATTAAGACAACAATCCCACTTACAGTTGCACCCAGAAGAATAAAATACCTAGGATTAAACCTACCCAAAGAAGTAAAAGACCTGTCCTCTGAAAACTACAAAACACTGATGAAAGAAATTGAAGACAACAACTGGAAAGGTATTTCATGCCGATGGATTAGAACAGATATTGTTAACGTCCATACTACCCAAAGCAATCTACAGATTTGATGCAGTCCCTATCAAAATACCAACAGCATTTTGCACAGAACTAAAACAAAAGATCCTAATGCATGTATGGAAACACAAAAGACCTTGAGTAGCCAAAGCAATCTTGAAAAAGAACAAAACTGGAGGCCTCAGAATCCCAGATTTCAAGATATACTACAGAGCTCTAGTAATCAAAGCTGGTACAAAGACACACAGAGAGCCCAGAAATAAAGCCATGATTACATGCTCAACTAGTGTATGACAAAGGAGGCCAGAATATGCAATGGGAAGGACAGTCTCTTCAACAAATGGTGCTGGGAAAACTGGACAGCTACATGCAGAAGAATGAAACTGGACCACTTTCTCCCACCATACACAAAAATAAACTCAAAATGGATTAAAGACCTACATCTGAGACCTGAAACCATAAAAATCCTAGAATAGAGTAGAGGCAGCAATTTCTCCGACATTAGCCATAGCAACTTTTTTCTACCTCCGTCTCCTAAGGAAAGGGAAACCAAAGCAAAAGTATACTTTTGGGACTATAGCAATAAAAGAAAAAAGAAAAAAAGAAAAAGTTTTGTAAACAAAGGAAACAACAAAATGAAAAGACAACCTACTGAATGGGAGGAGATATTTGCAAATGATATATCCGATAAGGGGTTAATATCCAAAATACATGAAGAATTTCTACAAAACACCACCACAGAAACCAAATAATCCACTTAAAAAAGGACAGGAGACATGAACAGACAGTGCTCCAAAGAAGACAAACAGATGGCCAACAGGCACTTGAAAAGACACTCAACATCACTCACCATCTGGGAAATGCAAATCAGAACTACAGCGACGTATCACCTCACACCTGTCAGTCGCTAAAATCACAAGAAACAAGTGTTGGCGAGGATGTGGAGAGAAAGGAACCCTCCTGCACTGTTAGTGGGGATGCAAAGTGGTGCAACCGCTTTTGTATGGAAGTTCCTCAAAAAATTAAAAACAGAATTACCGTATGATCCAGTAATTGCACTACCGCATCATTACCCGAAGAATATGAGAACCCTAGTTCAAAAGGATACATGCACCCCTCTGTGTATTGCTGCATTGTTTACAACAGCCAAGATGTGAAAGCAGCCTACGTGTCTGAAGATGGATGAATGGATAAAGATGATGTAAAATACACACACACACACACGATGGAATTTTTCAAGGATAAAATCTTGCCATTTGCAACAACACGGCTGGATCTAGAGGGTATGATGCTAAGTGAAAGAAGTCAGAGAAAGACAAATAACCATATGATTTCACCCATATGTGGGATTTCAGAAACAAAACAAAGAAAGAGGCAAACACACTCTTCAATATAGAGAACTGGTGGTTACCAGAGGGGAGGTGGCGTGGGGAGCGAGACAGGTGAGGGGATCAGGAGTACGCTTAAGAGGAGTACTGAGTAACGTATAGAATTACTGAATCGATACATCGTGTATCTGAAACTAATATGCCAGTGTATGTTAATTATATGGGATTTTTTTTAAAAAACTTTTTTCATTAAGAAACAGGGAAAAGAGTGAATCATTGATTTCTCTGGAGCTCCCTTTGGTTCTGAATGGGGGAGGACTAGAAACGGGACTGGAAAGGTAGGTTGGCGCAGACTATGGAGAACGTCAAAGACAAGTACACGGATGGGGTCTGTGTTCTCGGGGCAGGAGATAACCACGACACCATGTCCTCTGCAGCCCCAGACTGGCTGTTCCCTAGTGCTGGTGCCCCATTTTCTCTATAGCGTTAACCATAATTAATATCAGTCTCTTGGATATTTAAAAGAAGAGCCATGGGGCACCTAGGTGGTTCAGTGGGTTAAGCCTCTGCCTTTGGCTCAGGTCATGATCCCAGGGTCCTGGGATTGAGCCCCATATTGGGCTCTCTGCTCAGCGGGGAGTTTGTTTCCCTTCCTCTCTCTCTCTGCCTGCCTCTCTGCCTACTTGTGATCTCTGTCAAATAAATAAAAATCTTTAAAAAAAAAAAAAAAAAGAAGAGCCACATAGCGCATTCAGGAAGGTAGACAGAGGCATGGCGTTAAGCCAACAACAATCGGGTTGTCAGCACACCAGGGCAGTGCGGTGTTCTGTTTCCTATCCTAGGAAGCACTGGCTCCCAGGGGAGTGAATGGCCTTTGAGGAGACACTTCTGTTCCTAGAACCTAGAGGAGCACAGATGTCTTCCCTTTGGGCCCTTCTGAGGCGGCCAGCTCTCTGGTCTGATGCCTTGGACTGTGAGCCCTTTAGGAAAATGTTCTCTCTCCCATGGGTGCTGAGCCGAGTGCCCTGTACACTGTGAGGTCTGGACAGATGTTTGGATGGATACATCAATGGATGAATATGGCAAAGAAGAAAGGCTCAAGGGTAGTAAAAGCCAGTCCCCTTTATTTGGGTTCCAAAATCCAGACTCACACTGCTTTATGCACCAAAGCAGATGTACCGACTACCGTAACAAAAGCCCAGGAGTTGAGGGGTCTGTTTTCAGCAAAGTATGGACCTAGGTATTGAGGTGACATCACTGGGAGTACGTCCCTCTGTCTTCTCCTCTTTTTTTGTACCCTCCCTTCCCAGTCTAGCCTTCCCTGTCCCTAAGCTCCAGGCTGCCATTCTCACCACACACCTGCTTGAGAGAGAAGAGGAACTGGGAGTGGAGGAAAGGGGGTTCCCAGAGGAACATCAAGGCAGAGGCACCAGAAGACGCACAAAGCAACTGATGTTCACCATCGTGGCCTCATAGAGAAATTGGATCCGCCTACTTTAATGTAGATCGATCAAATGCCAGACTCACCATGCTTCAGTCAAGAAGATGGGAGTTCTGGACCTCAGGGTAGAGTGCAAAGTGGGCAGCCCTGGTTGCCAGGAGGACCAACCTGGGTTTGAATACGGGGTCGGTTGCTCACTCACTGTGTGATCTCAAGCTAGTGACTTAACCTGAGCCTCGGTTCCCTCTTTTTCTCCAGCTAGGCTGTCAGCTCTGCAAGAGCAGTAACCTCATTGTATTTTTTATGACCGCATCCCCAGCGCCTCGCAGCGTAGCCTGGTAGGCTGCCTGGAAACAGTGGCGGGTCCTTGATGCTGTTAAATCAGCCTCGTTTCAAGATGCTTGTACAGAGAGAAGGAAAACAGCCTATGAGCAGCTCTAGGAACGTGCCAGGCTGGTAGAGGGTGATGCTGAAGCTAGAGTTGACCGTGACTATTGCTCCACAAAGGAAACATGGTGGAACAAAGAACCCAAAGAGGCGAGGCAGCTGGTAGAGAGTTAGGAAGGAAGACCGGGCCATCCAGGTCAGTGGCCGTTTATGCTGGGTCCCCATCCCCCCACACAGGCCGTGGCGGTTGTGGACACAGCCCAAGGTTCCCATCTCCCACGCCCATACTGAACTCGTGTCCCTCTTGTGTCCCCTCTGCAGCTGGAGCTCTCAAACACCGCCGTCCTGCACCAGATGAGGCGTGATCAGGTCACGGACACCTGTCGCGCCAACAGCGCCCTGAGCCGCAAGCGGCGGGTGCTGACGCCCAACGACCTGAAGCACCTGGTGGTGGACGAGGACCACGAGCTCATCTACTGCTACGTGCCCAAGGTGGCGTGCACCAACTGGAAGCGGCTCATGATGGTGCTCAGCGGGCGGGGCAAGTACAGCGACCCCATGGAGATCCCGGCCAACGAGGCACACGTGGCGGCCAACCTCAAGACCCTGAACCAGTACAGCATCCCGGAGATCAACCACCGCTTGAAAAGCTACATGAAGTTCCTGTTCGTGCGCGAGCCCTTCGAGCGCCTGGTGTCGGCCTACCGCAACAAGTTCACGCAGAAGTACAACACCTCCTTCCACAAGCGCTATGGCACCAAGATCATCCGGCGCCAGCGCAAGAACGCCACGCAGGAGGCCCTGCGGCGCGGCGACGACGTGCGCTTCGAGGAGTTCGTGGCTTATCTCATCGACCCGCACACGCAGCGCGAGGAGCCCTTCAACGAGCACTGGCAGACCGTGCACTCGCTCTGCCACCCGTGCCACATCCACTACGACCTCGTGGGCAAGTACGAGACGCTGGAGGAGGATTCCAACTACGTCCTGCGGCTGGCGGGCGTGGGCAGCTACCTGAAGTTCCCCACCTATGCCAAGTCGACGAGAACTACTGACGAGATGACCACGGAGTTCTTCCAGAACATCAGCTCCGAGCACCAGACGCAGCTGTACGAAGTCTACAAACTCGATTTTTTAATGTTCAATTACTCAGTGCCCAGCTACCTGAAATTGGAATGAAGGGGGTCGGGGAGAGGGAGAGAGAATCGTGCTTTTTAATTTAAGATTTTTTTATTTGTCGAAAGAAATTCTATGGATATTGGGTTATTTTGTAAAGTAATATTTCTGTGGGGATGATGCTGCGAGCGGCATGGTGAGAATTATTTAAAATCCTTAGTAGGGAAGGACGGCTGTCTTTGCAGGGGAAAAGGATGGGTGTCCTCGTGTTTAGACGTGAATACCTACAACACTGTCTCAGAGGTTTCCTTGTGCTCTGGTGAATTCCATGAATTGTGCATCCCCTAAATTCTAATTAATATTATTTATAGTTATTTAAACATGGTCTCTGTAGAAATTTCTTTCTGTGGCAGCAAGATTCTAATGTCTTTGCAGAAGAAATGTGTGTTTTTGTTCTGTACTTGCTACAGCTCGTTTTGGGGCATGAATGTTCTCACTAGGCGCTCATAGGGTTAACTGTGTGATAACAACCATCGTGATATCTGTCGATGCCACCCTTCTCAGAAACTGGTGAGAAATAAATAGAAAAAGGCACCTTTGCGAGGGACAGAGTCCAAGCGGATTCCAAGCAACCCAAGAGTCCCTTGCGCTAAGGAAAAAAAAAAAGTGATTTTTTTTTTTTTTTTAACCCAAGGAGAAGAGCTGATTGTAGCTATTTTTTCTTTTCCCTTTTTACCAGAATTAGTAGTCTGATAGAGTAGGCCTTTCTACAGAAATTTTTAACTGGCAGTGCCAGTTATGCTGGTGAAGTGGCTGTTGCTTTATAGTCAGCAAGTATTTATTGAGCAACTACTACATGTGGGGCCTCATTGTAGGCCCTGCGGGTAGAGCATTGAACGAAACCAATAGTCTCGGCCCTCAAGAAGCTTTATGTGGACACAGTTTCCAGCTCAACCATTAGCAAACCCCTCGTACTCATGGACTTCACATGAGGTCTGGACCATTTTGAACAACCCCAGAAGGTCCATGACCCGACAAATTTGCATTTTTCTCTGACCCAAATTTGAAAACCACACACTTAGAACAGGCCACTTGATGTGGTGAGTAATCCAGGCTCATTGCCCAACACAAGAGAAGACAAAAGCGTTTCTCATCATGTTGCCCACTCCAATGGATTGGTGGTGTCTGCCTTTAAGCACCAGCATGGATTCGCCAGGCACAGCAAGGAGCCGGGCTGTGACTGATTAGTACTGTCTGCCTTGGGGGAGGGAAGGGACTCATTCGCCAAGTGCCTCTTCCTGTGCTGTCAGCCCAGCACCCACGCCTCAGCATAGAAGTGTTCTCTCCTCTTTGCTGTGTCCAAGAGTGAGAGGCTACGGCAGGCAGGCCTCGTACACTGGGGATCTGGAGTGGTCTGGCATTTCTCCCCTGGTGAAGGTCAGAGGTAGACCACCTATACACACACACGCACGCACATACCCCTCCCAAGTCCTCCAGAGGCTGAGACCATCAGCGCCTTGGCGAGCACCATGCATGAGCCTCAAGGACAGCCTTCCATTACTGTAATCTGTGCCCCCTTTCCTCCGGAAGGTCGGAAACATTCCACTTCCTGTTCCTTGCTAATTACCATCTGCACACGCTTCTCATTTCCAGCCATTTCAATGCCTCGGGTGAAGTTTGAGCCACATCCCTCTCACAACTAGTGAATGAGTTGGTAGCAGATCCTGTATATAATAATAATTATAGTTCTAATAATAGGGGGTGGGGTGGGATGGGGCGTGGGTAAGTTTTGCTTTTTTTTGTTTTGTTTTTGACGCAGTATATAGCAAAGGGGTGAGAATATTCTAAACAAACAAAGATGAATAATTTATTCACAGAAACTATTAAAACTGTAAAGCTCACGGCCAGCCCAGCAACAGCTGCCACATCTCACTGAGAATATGATTTTATTGAATGTGGGTGAGGTGTGCACTGGAGAGGGTGGCCAAAGCTTTTTATAAAATGTTGTATACCTTCTTTCAAGCTCTCTCCCCTTTGTGAAGGGCACAGTCACAGTGCCCTCCTTGGACGGATATGTGTGCCATGTGTTTTACTGAATAGAGTGACAGGCCTCGCTGTCCCTGGAGTTGGGAGTCTGGGCCCTGTTTCTAGGCAGGGGACACTGTCCTCACAAATAGGGCTTCTGCTAATGAATCCTTGCCCAGCATTTCCTGGTATGTGCTCCATAGAACAAAGAGTCAAAGAGTTGTGAAGTTAGTGTGATGCAAAAAAAGAAAGAAAGAAAGAAAAAAGAAAAGAAAAGGAAAAAAAAGGGAAAGAAACCATTTTGAGGTCAAATATCCTTGGGAAAGAAAGTTAAGTCAATTTCCTTTCTGCAGGACTTTTAAGAGCCTTGGATGTACGCTGTGCATTATGAACTGCCCAAAGCATTGAGTTGGTAGCATTTCCTGAACTTATGTGACCAGGATACTCTTATTTTGCAGATCTCAGAGATGTTCCACAGAATATACTTGGGTTAGGTTGATTTAGCATATCTGAGGTTGTCGAGGATAAAACAACTTCCCTGACCTTTCTCCAGAACAAAACAAAACAATAAAACAGTACCAATCCATCTCTATCTGGTTTATAGCAACAGAGGTACGTTATCAAATGAATCAAACTTTTATTTAAGTGCAATGGTTTTAATCCTGGATACTACCCTGGGCAATGATTCCATCCTTCCCAAAGGGAGCAGGGGATGGTCTTGGGTGATATGGACAGAGGAAGGGGGGGCAGAGAGGGGGACATAAGGCCACAGAACGGTCCCCCCACTCTTCAAGCCTTAGGTTACTCAACGCACGCAAAGGGAGCCCAACCTTTGAGCAGTGCTTCCTCAATTCCACCATGTGCTTTTGGTTTTCCAGTGGAAATTCCCATAGATTTCCCAAGCTCTGTGTTCCCACCACCATCTTTGTTGGGTTGGGCGAGCTCACTCGGGCCGTGAGCAGAGTACTGCCTTTCCTACATCTTCTCTCAAGTGAGAAAGACTGTCCTTTAGGGGACAAGGCATCAGTGTAGTTCTACAATGAGGGAATTTCTCCTTGTGTTTTGTGTTCACATTTTATTTTCTAATAGCATAAAAACCTTAAAAAAAAAAAACTGAATCAACTGTTGTGCAGAATGTAGAAAGTATTCTGTGTCCATGGTGGAAAAGAATCCATGAGTAAAATGTGCCTGGGAAGCAAAAGCTTGTATTTTTGGTTTTTTGTTTTGTTTTGTTTTGTTTTTTAAAGAAAACTGTTTGAAAACACTTTCCATTGCATGCTTTGCTGGAGAAAAGTACAGGCCGGCATCCCACCTCCAAGCCACTTTTCAAAGGTGCTGCTGTGTTTTCAAAACCAGGTACAGTTAGGGTAGTATTTGCAAGGACATTCCTGCTTAACCTATTCCTTTGGTTGGAAAATTCTAGAATATTAGCCACAAGGTTTGAATTCCTGCAGCTTCTCTGGACCACCCTCCCCATCCCCTTCCTCGCCTCCCCAGCTGGTCTGGGAAGAAAGGCAGTCAGTTGACCTATGGTGTCTCAGGGGGGACCTACCTTCCTCCCTGTCTACCAGGTGAGTCCCACCCTCTGACAGCAGAGGAGTGGGGGCACAAGGGGCCCCACAATTCCTGCTGGAAGAAAATTCCCAGGAGAAAACAAAAACGCAAGTCACTAGCCCCCTTAGCTGGTGGGCTCTAGACCACTGCTGAGGTAGTGATTACTCAGGCCCTGTTCCAACCTGGCAAGAACCCAAGGGACTCTGTCCCCGGTGAATGGTGTCAGACCATCTCCCTCGAAGACTGCCCCTCCCCGCCACACACCAACACACACAGTCAGAGCTGCCCTGTTCTGTGCCGTCCCGGGGACCGGAATCCCACCCGGGTCCCTTCCTGTGTCAGCGGGCCTGACCTCATGGCTCCCCCAGTTTGCAACAACCAGCATTTCTTCCAGCATTTTCTCATCAGCTGACCGGACCCTACGAACAGGCAACAGGACCTACAATAACCAACTTGCCCCTTGGCTGTTCGCAGGCGAATTTCGGTTTGCTGCTCTTTGTCAGGTACAGAAGTGGCTGCCCGTACTGTTTTCCTATGAGCATGCTCAGTATGGTATATACGCACATATAACTTAACATCTTTGTGGAGTGTGATTTTTTTTTCTTATATCTTTGTATGCAGTAGAGGGCTTGTTTTAGAAAACTCTCCCTGTCTCCTACTGTACTGTTCAAGAAAGCTGAATTCCACATTGCCAACAAAAGCGTGAAATGTTCATGAACCTTCCTCCAGGAAAAGCCATTCAAGCCTGATTATTTTTCTAAGTAACTTCAATTAAATTGAAGGAAAAAAAAAAAAAAAGAAGCTTCTCTCTGTGTATGGTTTGTTCATGGCTCATTGACAAAAGACTGTGCGGGTTGGGTGGGCTGTGTGCCTGAGCATGTGGGGGGCCCTGCTCGTGTGCGCCAAAGGATGGAGAGGGAGAAACAGAGATGAGGCCGCCACCACTCTGAACCCTTCCTGTTCAGTGGATGAATGGGAGCTTTCTTCATTCCTGCTTTGCCCACAAATTCTGTTGGGTCATACTCTAAGAGGCCCACCACGATCATGTTGTCCCACCACCCATGGGAAATATAAGGAAATGGTCTTCTGGAAGGTTAAATGGTTTTGGTGACAGAGCCGGTATCCAGGGTGCCTTCAGAACCCCACGCTTTGGCCACTAAGCGACACGCCTCTGAGCAGCTGTCCACCCTTCAGAAGTTGCAGACCTGCCCTGGGAGCCCCAATTTTCCAATTCCAGACCCACTCCTTTTCAGACGCCCCATAGCTGCTTCCATGACAGACTTTTTTTAGCTTTATTGCTAGAAATGGTTGACTTATTTCTATTGTGCCAAACGAAACATACTCGAAGTCGTTTATTCTATTCTAATTTCTTTAAATGTGTTATCTAAACGTTTCACATGAGAAGATTAGATTTAAAATGTATCCCATTTTCAACCATGTCAGATAGGGTTTGTAATTGTCCCCACCAGTGGCCAGCTCCCACCCATGCCTGGTGTCACTACTGTCCTTGCTCTGGTCCCTTCTGCTTGGGAGATGTCCAGACCGTGGAGCTCAGTTGTCTTAAATCAGTGGAAAATGCACTTCTTTTTAATGTAGTAAGTGGACATCCCTTGGTCAGGGCCTGTCCCTGTCTCATCTAGGACAGTAGAAAGTGTCACTGGGAAGCAAGCCTAAATGAGAACATGCCCAGTGTTTGTTTATTCTCAGAGTAAGACCAAAATGCCCTCTGGGCAGTGGCCAGCTAATGGGTATCTCCGATGGCACCAATGATTCCCTCTGGCTGACACGGCAAGAGCTACAGGAACGGAGGGCCAAGGTGAGGTCATTACTGATCCACCTCCCAGTGAAGAGCAGTAGCACCAGCCAGGATCCTTAGTATCCAGTGCTAAAGTGTCCTTTCTTGGAAAGAGCTCTCCTTTCTCAAGTTGTGCCTTTCCTTGAGATGTAACTGGTGATCACATAACTGTTATGATAGTAGACATTGATTCAGAAAATAAGAACGATACTGGCAATTCCATGGCAGCCCCCAAAGCCTTTTCAAACATTTTCTCAAAAAGTCCAAATATCCAAAAAGACTAAGAACCATTGGCCAAGAAGACGTTTGAGGGG